TAAAGTCAATACAATAATAAATGAAGGGTAAAATGGTACATCCATATCAAAAAATTTTCTCAGTATCCTATGAATAGAACCAAAAAATTCAACAACTTTTCAACTTTATCCCTATTTAATATACATTATACCTCATGTAAACAAAATCAACATAATAATAAATAGAGAGTAAAATTGTACATCCATACAAAAAATTTCTCTCAATGCCTTATAAATAGGACCAAAGAATGTCTTCTCTATCTGCTCTATAAATAAGACTAAAGGAGTAAGTTATAACTAATCTATGTATTTGATTATAAATACTTTGAGTCACTGAGTTTATTTTCCACACTTTCTGAAATCTTCACCTGTATTAATCAATATCAAGTAACTTCAGCTCTTTGGTTCGTTGATTTATCCACATCCAATTGAACCCAACCCACCGTACTTTGGTAGGGCCGGATCCACCTAGATTGTTGATGTCTTTTTTTGCTCAGCTGCTAGTGGTGTTTCCATTTGCTTCCAATTTGAGGTCTTCAATGGCTTGCTAGGAGTTGGGGAAGATGATATCTTTCTAGATTGTTTTCTCTCTACTATATTTTCCTGCATCATGATTTCCACCAGTATTAATGAGCAAAACTTCCTAAATTCTACGTAACATGAATAATATGAAATGCTAACCTGATATAATTTGCTCATTACTTTGGCTTGTATCATGACAATATAATTTTTGTCTATAGGCTATACTGAGTAGCTTGAGGAATGGGGTTATAAGTAAATCAAAATTATAAGGATTAAAAGATTAATTCTTTCTTCAAAAAAAAGGTTGATCTTCTCAAAAAAGTGAATATTCAAATCTTGATTTGGCACGTTATGAGGAACTAGCATCTTGCGCTAGACTCAACCCCCATTTGTTCCTCACACATGAGCACACACATATTTTTTGGCTAAAACTGGGGTATCCTCCTATTGGAGGCAATCATATTTGAGGTACTGCTAGTCAGTAAATGTGGACACCTCTCCTAACAAAATTTTGAATTTTGATTCACCATATTGTGAGGGACTAGTCCTTTCTGTTAGACCCAACTCCAGTTGGTTGCTCACACATGTATGAGAGACTTGATGTGGATTACAGTTATTTGGGCTTGCAATGTGGGCCTGACGAAAAATCTCAAAGCCCAATGATGGTATTGGATTACACGAGCACAACATATTTTACGGCTGCGAAACCGGGTAAGTGCTGGGGCCTACAAAGTTTGGATCCAGTTTCCCCCTATTTTTCCTTTTTCCATCTTTTCTGTTAACTTTTTTTTTCTTTCCAGCCAACCATCTTTTCTGTTAAGTTAGTGTGCATAGCATTAATTAGTTTTAACTTGTAATCAAGTGGGTGTTTGGCATCCCCCAAAGTTGAATGGGTGGGGGAAAAGGGTGTTTTGTCCTTTATTTTTCTTTTTTGACAAATTAATGCTCACGGTCTTTATCTTGATTTTTTGTTAATAAAATAATAATAGAAAAATGCCAAAAAAAGCCCTTAGAATATAGAAAATTTCAGATTGGGTCCTGAAATTTTATAAATGACAGAAAGGGTCAATGACCCAATCTGTCACTTGTAAAATTAAGAGGAATTGACAACTTTGTCCTCACTTATATTCATTCACCACAATGATTTAAGGAATCACTATAAAGGTTTAGGTGTTACCTAGATTTGTGTAGAGAATAACTACTCACTTTTCCCTAATCAGGTGCCTTGTTATTAACTACAACTAATCATATAATCACTAGAACTGTGTAAGCGTTACCTAGATTCGTGTAGAAAATAACTACTCACTTTTTCGTAGTCAGGTACCTTGTTATTAACTACAACTAATCATGTAATCACTAGAATAGTGTAACCATTACCTAGATTTGTTTAGAGAATAATTACTCACTTTTACTTAGTTAGGGTAAAATTGTCAATTCCTCTTGATTTTACAAATGACAGATTGGGTCATTGACCCTTTCTGTCATTTACAAAATTCCAGGACCCAATCTAGAATTTTCTATATTCCAAAGGCTTTTTCTAGAATTTTTCCTAAAATAATTTATAAAATTAAAAGTGACAAATACTTCTTTTCATAATTTCACAATTATCAAGAACACATGTTGTCATATATTTATTTTTTATAGTAAATTACAGTAAATTAAACAAATTTTGTAAATTTTAGAATTTATTTTCACAGTGTACGTAATTTTCTTAATATAAAATTCGCAAATTTTCTTGAATTTTTCTTCTAAATATATACCGATATGTCCTTTATTTTAAACATATGCAAGACTTTGCTTGTAAAAAATACAAGTCTTTCTTGAATTTTGTTGATATTATTCAAAGTTTTTTTATTTTAAAAAGAAAAACTTACATCAAATTTTTTAGATCCATTTTATCAAATTCTCCAATTACATACAGTCACTTATCCTATTTTGTTCTCAAAATAGAACACATAGCCATAAATGATTAGAAACCTTGACATAATGTATATAAGAAATTTGATCTTAGTATTGTCTGAAAAGAAAACTCTTGCCTATACTTTAAATTTTAAACATTGGAAATACATAGAAGCTTAATGGAATTAAAAATATCTGAGAAAATTTTAATTTTAAAAATAAAGGAGTTCAGTGAAATTTTTATTAAAAGTCTTTTGGGGGGGGGGGCACAGATTTATGTCATCTTAGTAAAAGTTTTAAAATGATTAATTTTTTAACACAATGACAGAGACTAAAACTGTTAATTAGGCATCGACGACCACAAATATAAAAGAGGAATTAATGTGCAAAAACAACGGATGGTTAAGGGAAGTGATATTTTAACTCAACACGTACAGTCTAATCTTGTTTGACCTGCAAGTATCGTGGGCTGCTGCTGGCCATGCTTCCTCATTTTTTAATTAATTAGCTAATCATCAATTTGTTGTTATTTTAATTTTTTTCAAGGCAAGACAAAAACAGCCTGTGACGAAAAGATAAGGGCTAAGCAAGATTCAAATAAAAGCATAAAACTACGTCTCCTCAACGCTCAGCTGCTCCCTCAATCACCCGCGAGACACAGCTTAGTTTAAAAAACCAAAAGAAAGAAAAACTCATTAGATACTTATCAGCACAAAGAATACGTTAAGTTGATGCCCCATCTTGTCGTATTACCTTCCCAATACGAGTGATTTTCCCGGAAGGACAGCAATATCATAAAGAGAAAATCAGTATACAATATACCAAAGAATTTACATAATTACTAAAATAATTCTCATCATCGTAAATAACAAGTTTCAATATAGAAAATGACAATAAAATTTATACTGCTTGCTTATTATTAAAACTTTTTATATTTATATTCTTTTTTTACAACTTTATAGTGATTTCCTTTAATATAAAATGAAGAAGAGATTTCAAAAAATAATGAGGCATCATTATAACTCGTGGGAGTGTGGTGCCGTAGACTAAGGGTGTGTTTGGGTGACACCCCAAACCATGGTTTGGGGACCCAAACCATGGTTTGGGGAATAATCTACCCAAACACCCCCTCCAAAAACCAAAACCATGGTTTTGGGTCAAAACCATGGTTTTGACTCCAAAACCATGGTTTTGGAAAAAGCAAATTTTTTTGCTTTTGGAGAAAGAAGGGAGAGTGTGAGAGCCTATATGATATGTATCTTGTTATTTTTTTTATAAACATATTTTTTTATAAATATATTTAATCTTATATTTTATAAATATATATACACATTAATTATTTATTAATTATATTATCTTATGTATTATTAATTATGTTGGTAAAAACCATATTATTAACAATTTTATTCCTTCAAATTAAAATATATCATAAAATCTATTTTTTTTTGTAATTATCATATTAACTTATGTCTTTTTTTTTAGTAATTTGTATATATAAAAAGTGCTTCTGATAACAACTATATAAACACTCTCACTTCTCATAATCACTTTTTTACAAAATCTATTCTTCACAGAATCTATTTTTCCCAGAATCTATTTTCCAAAATCACTTTTCCAAACCACAGTTTGGTTTCATCCAAACACACCCTATGAGCACATAGAACAAATGATGTTAGTAATAACAAATCTTATCTCATTAGGCGAAGAAGAGCACATAGAACAAATGATGTGTTCTATGAGTATATAGATTCATTGCAGGCAAAATCTTTAGATGGGTAGATTTACATGGAGCTTGAAAAATAATATGAAATGAATCTTTGAGTGACGATGAGGTGGGAGAATCTCAAAATGAGACGTCACTGACCTCTAAATATTCCAAAACCAGGTATCGAAAGTTGCTGGCCCGGGGGATGAGTCCCGAATTCGGAAGCCTCTGAGTTTAGACTTGATTCTGTTACGTTACTTACAACAGCATCCCGCCAAAAAGATCGGGACTTTGAAGGTCTGTTTGGCTCAATAAAAAAAAAAATAGAATTTAATGGAAGAAGAGAAAAAATAGAATGATTTTAATATTATTTTATTTAGACTTATAAAAAAAAAGGAGGAGAAGAGTTTTAATATTATTTTATTTGGTTCATGAGACGATGGGAGGGAAAAATATTTTAACATTTTACTCTTATTTTATTTAAAATAAAGACATAATAGTCCCAACATAATAAAATATGAACATAATAGTCATAACATAGCAAAATATTGCCCTCTTCCTCCAAATTCTTCCAATTTTAAAGGAGAGGTTGAGGAGGGGAGGGGAGAAATTTTTTTTAAAAATTTTCCTTTCTTTTTTACAATTTATATATTATTAAATAAGAAGAAATGATTAAAATCTTTCTCTCACTTTTTCTCTTTTCTAAATCTCTCATACCAAACACGAAGTGGGGGGGAGAGAGAGAGAATGGTAAATAACTGAATCATTTATGAAAGTGGTTTCCACTTTTAATAAATGAACGAGACAGGCCCCACATTCTTCCTTATATAGAGTGCAAACCCAGCAATTCGCAGACCCACTTCTCATAGCTCGCCCTCACAATTCACAAAACGACGACGATTCATGCTCGTCGAAACGAGCCTCCCTTCCCTCCTTCATTGCATATGACTATATGATACAAGCTTTATGAACATTGTTCCAACAGAATTTACTCCCCTCACGCTCGCAATCTTCTCAGGTTTAGCTCCGATCTTATCAAAGCTCAACCAAGCCGACCATTTCTCAATTAAGAGGCATCACCTATTATAAGCTCATGACTATAATTTATCGGTTAGCGGTAACACTCGGTCACATCCATCCATCAGCTCTCCCTTGATTCTTGGCGTGCGTCAGTGAACGTGGAAGAGCGTCAGATTCATTTATAGCTCACGCTCTCTCTCTGTGTCTCTCCGTAAGCTGATCTCTCTCTGTTTCTCTCTCGTGTTTTTTTTTTTTTCAATGCGTCTCATTCTTCCATGAGAAACAGTTACCCCTGACCTGCTTAATGCATGATTCTCAAACGTCTTCCTTGTTGAAACGTAACGGAACAATTGAATTGAAGCGTTTTCATTGTTATTCTGCTCAGTAGGTGTGCTGCGATCAACTTGAGTTCCGATCATGGGGAATTGTCAGGCGGCGGAGGCGGCGACGGTTGTGATTCAGCATCCTGGGAATAAGATCGAGAGGATTTATTGGTCGGTGAGCGCTCACCAGGTGATGAACTCCAATCCTGGTCACTACGTTGCTCTCGTTGTTACTTCGCCCACTCTCAAGTCCGAGAATGGCGCGCCATTGAAGCAGCTCAAACTTCTCCGACCCGACGATACTCTGCTTATGGGCCAGGTTTATCGCTTGATCAGTTTTGAAGGTTCGTAATGTTGCTGCTACTATATTACTCTCGCTGTAGCTCTTCTTTGTCGCTGCTTTTTCCTTTACAGCGAAAGTTTTTGGATCCGCAGATGTATTAAAGGAGCTGTCTGCAAAAAAATGCGTTAAACTCGGGAAACTGCTGAAGGACAGAGGCGGTCTTGGCGTTCACATCAAACACAGGGACTCCAGAGCACCAAATCCGAGTCCGAGTTCGAGACCCGATTTTGCTCCCTTGAAGGTAAATATCATATGATGCTCTGTTTCGAAGTGAATAGTGCTAGCCTAAATCACATAAGACTCGAACATATTTTTCACTCAAATGATGAAGTGTTAATAATTGAGGTTAAGCATTCTACTTTGATCGATTCTTTTTGGGGCGTAAGAATTGTTAGTGATTTGATAACTGACACAGGGATCACGTTACACAATGGAAGGCATCTTTACTATGCATTTTTTACCTTGTTCTTTTTTTTCAGTGGGTAAATTTACAGAAAACGTTATCTTCTTGGCACCTGGAAGAACCTGATAATTGTTTAATTAAGCACGAATCTCTAGGATGATCTTTTTATTTCGTTCAGCCATATGTGTTAGTCAAATTTGAAAGAATAATTAATCACATCATGAATATGGAAGAGATTAGCGTGCCTTACCATTGCACGTTGATTCGGATGCATCAGGAGCGTGCTCATACCATATTCTCTTGCTTTTAAGAACTAGAATCATTGCGAGTGCATGCAATGATTGTTTTGATTTGCGCAAAGCTGTTTGATATCTAGCATGGCTATCTACAATCGATTTAAAGTCGTATTCAGATTTTCATGGGGACAAGCTATTAAACAAGACAAAAAAATTTAATTTTGTTTGCGTGCTATTAATGTTAAAACTTTGCCATCATGATGATATAAAAGAAAAATAACATTAGATTTGTGTTGCAAGCTTTACCTAGGTACATGATTGGCATACTAATTACTTTGTCACAAGATTTTGACTTCTAGGGTAATAGTAAGCGAAAATCGTACGTCAAACAGTGCATGCTCCATTATCCAAAGGATAATACTATAATCGTGGTGCTTTTGTTTGGTTACTTTTACCACTTTTCTAAGTTTCTTCCCATTTCCCCTTCATGAGCACCACCTAATTTTAAAGGGACGTCAAGACCGCCTCTGAGCTAATCACAAATGATGGCGGGGATGCTTTTTGTCAAAGAAATCAATTCAAGCTGGAATTCTCTTGAAAGTTATGTCATTTACAGTAGTTAGTTTCAATTCTCAGTCAGCTGATTATATTATTATTCGCACATGTAATCTTTTACCATCAAAGACAGAAAGATGAACATGTCAATCACATTAAAGTTAAAACTTTGAAAGAAAATAGTAAAAAAAAAGGTAAAAAGATAAGGGATAACGATGTCACGTAAAGTCGTGCTATACTGCTCTGCACACTATTCATAAGCATGGGTGTGTATCAAAATGAGATGTCGTTTTCTTTTTGCCTTCATCGCTCTCCTTCATAACGTGTGTCTATCCAATTGCGCATAGCCATAAGTGGCCTTTATTTTATGTGTGTCAGGTGGAACAGGAGATTCACCGAATGGGAAGCAATGGCAGTGGTAGCAGCAGTCACAAAGTTGTGGGAAGACAACATGGTGGTGGTGGGGGGCAATGGAGGCCAGCCTTACAGAGCATTGCAGAAGTTGGAACTTGAACGCACTATTCGGCCCTCAACAAATTACAAGCCGCAAACCAACCTTTCTTTTCACTCTTTCCAATACCATCATACAGTAATATGCGTCCTTAATTCTTAGAATTTTCCTGATATAATAGGGTGGTTTATGATGTAGCTTTCTTTGGAATGACACGTTTACTTCTTAGCTTTACATATCAGCCCCTAACGGCCTAACCCAATTAGTGTCGTACGTGTAATAGCAATTACCTTTCCGTCTGTGAAATATTGTCGTTGTTCTCTTTTGTTGAAGTGTAGAAGTTTGCTTGGTAATTTGATAGTGAACTGGTTCTTGGAACGTGGATGTCCTGCGGGCAACCAAAAATGGCTTTTGCATTTTTTATTTTTATTTTTATTTTTAAAACTGTGAGCCCACGGAACCAGGAGGCTAGATTTATCTTAGGTGGTCCTGCCCCATTTTGATAATTTGATTCGCTATCGTGTATAAACAGAGACGTGCGTCTATAAAACTGTTTTGCTTCAAAAGTTTGACGGTGGCATTTATTCCCACATGACCATGAGCTGGGGCTGAATGCCTGTCTTGTGATCCGACGAGGCTCCGATCACACCCCTCTAGACGTTTTCTAATGATTTTTTTTTCCTTTAAATTTGTGATGCACCATAAATGAAAGAGACCGCAAGGGGCTTAAAAGTAAAGAGAATAGAATATGGAATGAACGTAAAAAGTGATTTTGAAGAGAAAATTCTGCATTCTTCATATCAACTGGATTTCAAATCAACCGAGCAGAAGTGAAGAACATTAAATTCATATCTTTCTGTTGTTGGCAATGAGGATAAAGGGGTTTGTAAGGGACTTTTATTCTCTTAGTCCATTCTTAATGTGCTTTTGGTTTTAGAACATCTATGCACTTTACTTGAGCAATTGTCTGTTTTTGGATTTATCAAGTAAATATATTCTGAAGTGATAAAATGAAGGCACCAACTGCACCACGATACATATTTTTTTAGGAAGAAGCAAAATATCCATTCTCGTCTCTCTCCGCATACTAAATATTAGACTGTGATGAAACAAAAGGCGCAAATGAGCATTTGCTTGGCACGCCTCCATAAACCCAGCAGAAGCTAAAGCTTTTTATGGAACGATGATCACTTTCATACAATGGGTGCAAGCTGGATTGGAATTTTTAAATCTGATGAAGGCAATATATAACACCCACTTTGGCTCCTTATAAAGGATAAATCCAAGGCAAGTGTTGTGGACGGAGCAAAGAATGAAGTTGTCCACTGAGTAGAGGAGAGACAAATCAGAGTTGAGAATAAAAACAAAGATAATGCACTGACTCAAATCTCAGGACCCCACAATGTTTGTGTTCCTCTGCTAATAGTGCTGCCTCCACTACACTATAACGCCATTCATAAATATTAAACATTTGCATGTAGCACGTACTTTTGCTTTTAATTTGATGTTTGTTGTTTTCATCATGAGTCAATAATGCACTCACTTTTCCCCCTTCTTTTCCCACATTCTTGCCTTTTCCCTCAAAAGCTTCAAGATCTTTGTTCTCAAATGTGTCTACCACTCTTCTTATTATTCACATGCATGATGCGCCTTCTTCCCTGTTTACCACCATTCGAACACGACACCTAGCAGCCTCGCTGTAACACAAAATTAAGAAGCCCCTGCATTTCGTTTATTTGTCCACAATAAATACTCTATTATTCGTTTGCTTCTTTATTTAATGTCATCTCTGTAGAGCATTAGATTGATTGGTGAAAGTTGCTGTATTTGATCTGGACTATTTTTCTTTTTCTGTTAAAATGGAGTCTCCTCAACTATCAATTAAAGAATTATGATTTAAAATATAGCAGTAAAAAAAAGCTCGAATTTAGATTTTTCTATATTTTATTCAGACCTGTTGGTATTTAAAAATTCCCAATGTTTGTAATGGCCAGCAAAATCATGGTTAGATTCTAGTGGTGATTTTTTTTTCCCTGAAAGCTACGTACAATTGACATCTCCCCTTCTCCGTTGATCTTTTATTCTGTAATTAATTTTAGGAAAAAAATTATAATTTTTTCAAAAAAGAAAAATAACTTTTTTTGAAATTAAAAGTGTAGTATTAGACCTTTTTTTATACGTATAAGTATCCTCCTATTAAGAGCACTATTTGGCACTAAATTTGTGTACATATCGCATTAGGAATTTGAACATTAGTTTGTTACATTGTAAAATACTAGTCCTTTTTTTTTTTTGGTTGACAGAGGATGGGCTAAGCCCGAATACTAAGTGTGATCAACGTATCTTGGCACTCCTATTCCTAGCAAGTCCTCCTTCAGAATTTCCTGGACAGCCTTCGGTGGTGTGAACTAGACCAATTTCTACTCCGTTTGGCTTGCACCAATGGATGCTATTTTGTCAGCACATCTGTTTCCTTCCCTGAAGACATGATTGAGTCGAACATTCCACTCTCTTGACAGCAGCTCCTAAATAAGTCAGTAAGCTTCACTTCTCATTTGTAGTTTTTTGTTTATTGCTTCAACTGCTTGTAAAGCATCGCACTCTACTTCTACATTCTTGAACCCCATCTGCCAGCATATTTTGAGTCCCTCATATATCCCCCAAAACTCTGCTTTCAGTGTTGTGCAGCTTTGCAGTTTAACTGAATATCCTTGCAACCACTCTCCACAATGCCCCCTTATCACTCCCCCACAGCCTGCCGTTTCTCCATGTGAGCTCTATCCATCCAAGTTCAGCTTGCACCAATGCTTCTCGGGTGGCTTCCAACTTATCATTCTTATCTCTCCTCTTCTCTCCTTGCTTACTCCAGCAACAGCTTTGTTCTTGTAGTTCCTAAGATAACTATTAATAACGTCAACTTCGTTATACAGTCTAACAAAATCCTAATCATGCACTTGGAGATTTCTCCATTTCCAGACTAGCCAGCATCCAATAGCAAGTCTCTCTGGCCAATCATAATCCTTTATTCTTCTCCCCTTGTTTTTAATGTTTTGTTGCAACCAATTTCTTCCATTTACTTCAAAAAATAGTCAATCATGTTTCTGCCATTCCAGTTTCTTCCACACCTGTTGGGCATAGGGGCAATCTTGTAGTGTGTGTAGCCAATCCTCACGTGCATTATAACAAATTCTAAATATATCTGAGCTACCATTCCATTTGCCTGTAATTGCTTTAGTAGGTAGCCGCTGGTTGAACGTGATCCACATGAATGCTCTGACTCACTTTGGGACCTGCAGTTTCCATAATTGTTTCCAGGGACTCCATGTCATTGATTGCGTCTCATTTCGTAACCATTTGTAGGCATGAGTAGTAGTAAAGGAGCCATCCTCTGCTGATTTCCATACTGGTTTACGCACTTGGTACTGCTCCTCCCACTCAATATTGCTCTGGAATGTTTCTCTCAATTTGACTAGCTCTTTCCGTAGTCTGGAGTCTCCTTGCTTGGCTTGAAACATTTCTCCCTCTATTGGTTGCCTACCATACTTTCCTTGCAGTACACAAACCCATAGTTCATCCGGGCTTTCATGCATCCTCCATATTAGTTTTAACAAGAAAGCTTCATTCATCAGTGAGAGTTGTTTCACTCCCAGCCCTCCTTCCACCTTCGGCTTGTAGACAGATTTCCAGGCGATTGGATGCCATTTTCTTTTTCCATCTTGTTCACCCCATAGAAATTGTCTCTGCACCTTTTCCACATCCTCAATCACTCCTTGTAGAATGCGGTCGTATTACATAGGGTAGAGTGCCATGGACGATGTCACTGAGTTGATTAAAGTCATTCTTCCTGCCAGAGACAGGCTTGCTGCTTTGCAGCCTATAGCCTTTTCTGTACCTTAGACACAATTGATCTGTACTTGTCTCTGCGTCTCCTGGGAAAGGAGAGTTCAGGTCCTAAGTATTTTCCTAACTCGTCAACTTGTTTGAAGTTACTCCTATTGCATATAATTTTCCTGGTAAGCGTACTTACATTTGGGGAGAAATAAATGTGAGTCTCTTCTTTGCTCACTTTGTGTCCTGAAATTTCACCGAAAACCTGCAAACATTGTACAATAATATCAATTTGGTCAGGGTTAGCTTCAGCAAATAACACGAGGTCATCTGCAAACATCATGTGAGATATGGTCAGGCCTTTTCGACTCGCTTTCAAGCCTTTCTATTTTCTCTCTCTCACTCTATCCATGATTAAGTGTGAGTTTTTCCATGCCAAGCGCAAAGAGATAAGGGGAGATAAGGTCTCCTTGCCTAAGACCTCTGGTCGGGTTCATCTCTTCAAGTTTTTCTCCATGCCACAGAATCTGAATGGAAGGAGTGTGAATACACTCCATAATTTTATGGACTATCACCTCAAGGCATTCAAGCTCCCTTGGCACTTTTTCCATGAATTTCCCAGCTTATTCTATCATATGCTTTCTCCAAGTCAACCTTAATCGCCATAAATCCTTTCCTCCCTTTTTGTCTCTTCATCGAATGTATCATTTCATTCACAATAACAACATTATCATGAATGTTTCTTCCAGGTACGAAACTAACTTGGAAGGGTGACACTATCTTGTTCATGATGTTCTTTAGCCTTTTAACAATGATCTTAGAGAGGCTTTTGTAGATGAAATTGCATAAAGAAATCTATCTGAATTGATTGACTTTCTCAGGATTGTCAATCTTAGAGATGAGAGAGATGAGGGTAGAATTCACCTTCTTAATATTTTCAAGATTTTCCCACAAACTCCTCACCGCTTGACTCACACTGTTTCCCACTATTGCCCAGTTCTTTTGGAAAAACACTGCTGGATAGCCATCGTCTCCCAACGCTTTTACTCCTCCTATTGAAAACATTGCTTGTTTTATCTCGATGTCATTAATGGTTTCTGAAATTTCTTTCCATTCCTCCCCTGACACTCTCGGGCAAGTGTGATGTGTTTGTATCCAACGTCTACTGACATTATCTTCACAGAACAACTTCTTAAAAAATTCATTCACTGTTTGACCCATTTCCACTTTACCTTGCACCCAGTTATTCGAATCATCTCTTAGCATTGTTACTCTACTCCTTCTCCTCTTGATATTGGTTTTTGTGTGATAGAAGGAGGTATTTCTGTCTCCCTCATTGAGCCATTTAGTTCTGGCTTTCTGAAACCAGAGGATTTCTTCCCTTTCCAGCACTTCATTAAGTTCCTCTTTAAGCTGTAATTCCAGTGATTCCAATTTCCCATGTTGTTTCCCTTGCCCCACCTTCTAAATTCCTTCTATTCTTCGGATAAGTTCTCTTTTCTTTTTTCCAATGTGGCGGAAGACATTTTCGTTCCAATGCTGTAACTTTGGTGTTA